GAAGGGGATTCACTGTCCCCTCTCTGCCTAAGAGACAGATGGGGTTCACTGTCCCCTCTCTGCCCAAGAGACAGCGAAGGGGTTCACTGTCCCCTCTCTGCCCAAGAGACAGCGAAGGGGTTCACTGTCCCCTCTCTGCCCAAGAGACAGCGAAGGGGTTCACTGTCCCCTCTCTGCCCAAGAGACAGCGAAGGGGTTCACTGTCCCCTCGCTGCCCAAGAGACAGCGAAGGGGTTCACTGTCCCCTCTCTGCCCAAGAGACAGCGAAGGGTTCACTGTCCCCTCTCTGCCCAAGAGACAGCGAAGGGGTTCACTGTCCCCTCTCTGCCCAAGAGACAGCGAAGGGTTCACTGTCCCCTCTCTGCCCAAGAGACAGCGAAGGGGTTCACTGTCCCCTCTCTGCCCAAGAGACAGCGAAGGGGTTCAATGTCCCCTCTCTGCCCAAGAGACAGCGAAGGGTTCACTGTCCCCTCTCTGCCTAAGAGACAGCGAAGGGTTCAATGTCCCCTCTCTAAGCGTAACACAGCGAGACTTACCGGGTATGTTTGAAGCCGTTCTGCACTATTTATACACTACAACCCTACTAGCAGGAAGTGTGTACCTTCTGTACCCAGAGTACCTACCGGCCACGGAATCATCCGCCCCTTCCCCCTCTGTTTGGTTTTGTCCTAAATTCATCAAATGCCATAGAAGACGTGATACTTAATATTATTAGATGGCTTCAACTTGCCCTTTAGTGTTCGAATATTGTGCTGTCATTACCCCTTTAGGTGTGTGAGAGAGAGAGAGAGAGAGAGAGAGAGAGAGAGAGAGAGAGAGAGAGAGAGAGAGAGAGAGAGAGAGAGAGAGAGAGAGAGAGAGAGAGAGAGAATGATAAACAAAAAGAGAAGATAAACAACTCTTTAACTCGCTATTTATGCTGTTGATGTAAATAAAGTTCAAGCTGTTTGGCATGAGATATGTGATCTTGAAATATTAATTTTAAGCTTTTACACACACACAGGAAGCAGCCCGTAACAGCTGTCTAACTATCAGGTACCTATTTACTGCTAGGTGAACAGGCTCATCAGGGTGAAAGAAACTGCCTATTTGTATCCACCTTCGCTGGAGATAGATCCCCGGACCCTAGGACTACGAGTCCCTAGCGCTGTCCACTCAGCCGTCAGGCCCCACACAAATGTGTGTTTATGTGTGTTTGTATGTGTGCGCGCGCGTATGCATTTGCATGTTTTTCGTGTGTGCTGTGTGTGTGTGTGTGTGTGTGTGTGTGTGTGTGTGTGTGTGTGTGTGTGTGTGTGTGTGTGTGTGTGTGTGTGTGTGTGTGTGTGTAGCGCTTGAATAGTTCCATAGCTACATTTATGGTATTTAGTATATAACCAATACAAGAATTCGGACCTGGCCGTCAAGGTTCGAATCCGGTAACAAACCTACTCTACCAAAATAGACTATTTTCTTTGAATGTCAATAAGCATTTGATATTCCCACTTATAAAAAGCTGTTGCTCAAAATAGCGAAGCAGCTTAGGATGTTTAATGAAGATAAATGTCACTTATTGCGTTATGGAAAAGACGAAAATATAAAAACGGAAACCTCGTACAAAACGCAGTCAAAACACAATATAGAACGAAAAAGCAATGTACTTAATAATATACTTAATAATTTACACCTGGAAAATATTAGAGCGACTGGTTTCGGATCTAGACACGGAAATATCATCCCATGAAACCAGTAAGCATGACAGGATGGACAAAATAGCCCCAATGAAATGCAAAGGTGTAGTTGGTGCGCTGAGAGAACTATCAACATCAAAGGTCCAAGACTTTTCAACACTCCCGCTACACATAACGGGCAAAGCTGGCCGGCCTCTCACGATGCTCGAGAGAGAACTCGATAAACACCTCCAAAGGATACCTGATCAACCAGGCTGTAATTCATACGTCAGGCTGCGAGCACCCACATCCAACAGCCTGGTTGACCAGACCACCAAACAAGAGGCCTGGTCAGAGACCGGGCCGTGGTCTTTGATCCCCAGAATTACCAGAAGGTAGCTAGGTAGGATAACTGTAAAAACAACAAACTTAGAAGGCGAGGAGTCACAATAACGTGGCTGAAAAATGTTGACCAAACCACACACTAGAAAGTGAAGGGACGACGACGTTTCGGTCCATCCTGGACCATTCTCAAGTCGATTGTGACCATTCGACATTCCATTTCAGACCATTCGACAATCGACTTGAAAATGGTCCAGGACGGACCGAAACGTCGTCCCTTCACTGTCTAGTGTGGGGTCTGGTCAACAAGGAACCTAGAATGTGGGTACATGTAGAGCTGAAGAACAGGTGAATGACCTATCAGAGGGCGTGAGCTCGTACATGTCAACACTGCAGACGATTCGAAGCTAATGAGGGACGTAGAACCCACTGAGGAATGAGGACAGTTACAGAAAGACTTTGATAACTGTAGTAGTGAGCAAAGAAATGGGTGTTAGACTTTAATCCCAACAAGTATTAGGTAATGAAGATTGTAATGAGAGAACGGAGACCAAGAGGTATCTACGCCATAAGGGAAAGACATCTACATGAAATGGAATGAGGAAAATATGTGGTAGTGAATATAATTCCAACACAAACAGCAGAGGCACACAGACAGGGTAACATCAATAAGTGGCGTACTGAAAAATATTCTTTCAAGATAATTTACACACCCTATTTAGACCAATATGCAGCACAGGCCTGGGATCAGCATCTTGTGAAACATAAATGCACAAATTAAAAAACACAGGCTTGCAACAAGACTGGAGCTAGAAATTAAGTATGTTAAACTACGAGAAAAGGTTTTATGAACTGGATTCTACAACCCTAGAGGGGATATAATCACAACATAAAAGATAGTGAGCGGGAAACGTCATGGTGGACAAAAACATTCTCCATAAATTAAGAGAAAGCCGAAAACGCAAATGAGTTGAAAAATGTAAAGAAATCCTCATAAACTATACGGCTGGTCAACAAAAGGAAAAAAGTTGTGGAAACCGCGTCCATCACAACATTAAGGCTAGATTCGAAAAAGATTTCGAACAATCAGGATAGTTCAATTATAACGTACATAACAGATACAAGAAGCAGGTGGGGCCATGACAAAGAACTATAGACCTGACCACTTGGGCTGGACGGTAGAGCGACGGTCTCGCTTCATGCAGGTCGGCGTTCAATCCTCGACCGTTCAAGTGGTTGGACCCCATTCCGTCCCATCCCAAATCCTTATCCTGACCCCTATAGACCTGACCACTTGGGCTGGACGGTAGAGCGACGGTCTCGCTTCATGGAGGTTGGCGTTCAATCCTCGACCGTTCAAGCGGTTGGACCCCATTCCGTCCCATCCCAAATCCTTATCCTGACCCCTTCCCAGTGCTATATAGTCGTAATGGCTTGGCGCTTTCCCCCCTGATAATTCCCTTCCCTTCCCGTACTCACTGTCAGGGAAGCGCTGATAGGCAAGTACTGCTGACAGGACATACTTAAGGGGACGCGCCTTGAGGCCTTACACCCCTCTCATAGTAGCTTCTTTCTTTATTATGCACCCCATACCCATCCCGTGGGCGGTGGTGGCAGGGTTACAGAGGCACGTAATCGGTCCAGGCAAGTGCTACATTAGGCTATTTTAGGCGGCAGTAAGCCTGGCTGCCCAGTGGAAGGTTAGTCTGCCCTTCTCTTACCTAACGGGGTTCCCTCAAATAATTGAATTGTATATGTGACGCTCCTTTGTGTATAGGCGGTACCCGCTAAACTCACACCGAAACTACGACTTTGGTACAACGTTCGAACAAGTTTTAACACCTCCTAACCAGTTATAACAACCAATATAGCAAGTTGTAACAACGTTCTAATACGTCATAAACACGTAAGCCAAGATGTAACAACTTTATTACAAGTTGTAACAAGCGGAAAATAGAGACAGTTACGGTTCGTGTTTCCAGGGTAGGTGTTTTCCTGTGTGTGTATATCTTCTAGTGTCTTAAATCCTTCCTATTTAATGATCAAACATTTATAATTTCATTAGTGGTGTTTACTAGTACGATATAGGTCATGTTATAATCATTGTAGCTTTATCTTCATAATCTATATATTTTTTTCCAGAATTATTTTGGAGACGAGTTTAGCATTATACCCTGGTATGCCGTAGATATATTTTCGCTAATTGTTTTTGTTTCTTCTCTTCCCCTCCCCACCCCTTCCCCCCTTCCCTACCCCCTCTTTATCCCCCTCTAATTTGTTCCCCCAATTTATCGCCGTTCTCCCTCCACTGCTTGGTGCCCCCCCCCCCCTCCCACAATTGTATAAAACAAAATAATCACTATTTGCATTTGTATTGAATTACTTGAAAATGTTTTGTGAACAATTTTAAATGTCGGCTTTATGTTGCACTCCTGAACATTTCTACTTGTTATTTTTAAGTTTGTTTCAAAAAATATAACAAAAATATTTACGAAATTTATATCGCTTGGCCTTATTTCACAACTTTATTTGGCATATTATACCCGAGTATTTATTTCCTAATTTTATGTCATGTTCCCTCATTGCCCAAACGTTGCCCCCCCCCCCTCCCCCACCCTACATAATGATGTATGCTTTGTTTATGTTGGAATGTCTCATTGTTTCTTATTTGTGTACATTACCCCATACCGGGTTGTTTATTTTTACATGAATGGCTCACCTGACGGTGTCACTCGTGTCTAATGGCGACCCTCCACCTCACACCCACGCCCCCCCCCCCCCCATTTTCCCCATTAAACTCCTCTGGCACCCTGCCCTTCTGGCACTATCTCCAACGCATACACCCTCCCCTGCTCCCCTTACCCTTATGACACGTATGCCACCACCACCCACTCTCACCCCAATGACACCCAACCAACGAACCACCACATCTCCCCATTACGTCAAATATCTCCCCCCTTTCCCCACTCTTCCCCCCCCCCCCCCATCACATCCTTCCCCCGTCCACAGCAAGCACAGTGCTGGCTGAGCTCATGAGGGCAATTCTGACGGACAAGAAGAGTCATCGCTTGAAGAGGTCACACTATCATGTCCTCCTGCAGCCTCACCTCGAGGACCTGAAGTTGTCCTCGGGGGACGGCGACTCCGTCTCCGGGTTCCAGTACATGAAGGCACGATGCAAGGTACGCGCGCACCTTCACAGGTAACGTGTCCAGTAACACACAAAAAAGGGGGCATTTCCGACGGCAGTTTCTGTTCCAGACACATTCCAGTCTTCCGTCTTCGGCAGAAACACTGCAGGTTGAAACCGGTACTATTTTTCAGGTTCCAATCCTACCAGGACAGGACGGTAGAGCGACGGTTTCGCTCACATGCAGGTCTGTGTTCAATCCCCGACCGTCCAAGTGGTTAGGGCACCATTCCTTTCCACCCGTCCCATCCCAAATCCTTATCCTGATCCCTTCCCAATGCTATATAGTCGTAATGGCTTGACGCTTTCCCCCCTGACAGTTCCTTTCCCTTCCCTTCCGATTCCGGCGCACTGCAGCTACTTTTCTGACGTAAAATGTTTTCTGCTTATTTTTGCAGCGCGATACCAAACAGGTTCTCGTATTCTGAGGCTCTGATACAGAGCAAGTAGTGTGGGAAGACTGATAGATATAAGGTACTTGTGTCTATATGGCATACAGCAGGTACTATTATAAGTGCAACATATGGTACTATTGTAAGTGACACATATGGTACTAATATAAGTGCAACATATTGTACTAATACAAGTGCAACATATGGTACTATTATTAGTGTAACATATTGTACTATTATAAGTGCAACATATGGTACTATTATTAGTGTAACATATTGTACTATTATAAGTGCAACATATTGTACTATTATAAGTGCAACATATTGTACTATTATAAGTGCAACATATGGTACTATTATTAGTGTAACATATTGTACTATTATAAGTGCAACATATTGTACTATTATTAGTGTAACATATTGTACTATTATAAGTGCAACATATTGTACTATTATAAGTGCAACATATGGTACTATTATTAGTGTAACATTGTACTATTATAAGTGCAACATATGGTACTATTATTAGTGTAACATTGTACTATTATAAGTGCAACATATGGTACTATTTTGAGGCTGTGGCACATAGCAGGAGCTGTTGTGGGGAACAGTGACGTAGCGGCGTCACTGACAGAAGGACAAAAAAGTACAAATCTCGTCAAAACGGCTTTCAAGCAGACCCGTGTTTGGAGTACCGCTGTCAGGTACTGTCACCAGGTACATACCTGAGGTACACACCGGGTACTGACCCGAGGTACACACACACACTCACCGGGTACATACCTGAGGTACACACCGGGTACTGACCCGAGGTACACACACACACTCACCGGGTACTGACCCGAGGTACACACCGGGTACTGACCCGAGGTACACACACACACTCACCGGGTACTGACCCGAGGTACACACCGGGTACTGACCCGAGGTACACACACACACCGGGTACTGACCCGAGGTACACACACACACACACCGGGTACTGACCCGAGGTACACACACACACTCACCGGGTACTGACCCGAGGTACACACCGGGTACTGACCCGAGGTACACACACACACTCACCAGGTACATACCTGAGGTACACACCGGGTACTGACCCGAGGTACACACACACACTCACCGGGTACTGACCCGAGGTACACACACACACACACCGGGTACTGACCCGAGGTACACACACACACACACCGGGTACTGACCCGAGGTACACACACACACTCACCGGGTACTGACCCGAGGTACACACCGGGTACTGACCCGAGGTACACACACACAATCACCGGGTACTGACCCGAGGTACACACACACAATCACCGGGTACTGACCCGAGGTACACACACACAATCACCGGGTACTGACCCGAGGTACACACCGGGTACTGACCCGAGGTACACACCGGGTACTGACCCGAGGTACCTTTGTGTACCTGTGAAGCCGCACACTAACCGATCATGTCGTCATCCTCATACACCATACGAACCACCAGACAGTGTCAGTGCTTTCCAACATACAACCTAACAACAGTTCGTTGAACTCCCGGGTACCTATTTACTGCTAGGTGAACAGATGCATCAGATAAAAGGAAACGTACCGAACCGTCTCTGTTTCGCCCGGGGATCGAACCCAGGATCCTCGGTTGTCAGCCAAGGATGTAGACTACTGCGTTTCAGGACCCAGCAATGTAAAATCAATTGGCAATTGATATCTGATGATGATAATATTATTTGTCATTCTATTACTGCAAACAGCAACAACAAAAGTTTATAACTTGGAGCCCCAGACCATTGCCAACAGGAACAACAGAGGCTTGTGAGGTGTAGCCCCAGAAGGTTGCCAACAGGAACAACAGAGGCTTGTGAGGTGTAGCCCCAGAAGGCTGCCAACAGGAACAACAGAGGCTTGTGAGGTGTAGCCCCAGAAGGCTGCCAACAGGAACAACAGAGGCTTGTGAGGTGTAGCCCCAGAAGGCTGCCAACAGGAACAACAGAGGCTTGTGAGGTGTAGCCCCAGAAGGCTGCCAACAGGAACAACAGAGGCTTGTGAGGTGTAGCCCCAGAAGGCTGCCAACAGGAACAACAGAGGCTTGTGAGGTGTAGCCCCAGAAGGCTGCCAACAGGAACAACAGAGGCTTGTGAGGTGTAGCCCCAGAAGGCTGCCAACAGAAACAACAGAGGCTTGAGTTGTAGCCCCAGAAGGCTGCCAACAGGAACAACAGAGGCTTGTGAGTTATAGCCCCAGAAGGCTGCCAACAGGAACAACAGAGGCTTGTGAGTTATAGCCCCAGAAGGCTGCCAACAGGAACAACAGAGGCTTGTGAGGTGTAGCCCCAGAAGGCTGCCAACAGGAACAACAGAGGCTTGTGAGGTGTAGCCCCAGAAGGCTGCCAACAGGAACAACAGAGGCTTGTGAATCACAACCTCCAGACTGTTATTCGTGGCCTCTCATTTATGAATCACGATGAAGGAATGCTTACGCGACGTGACGCAAGTCAGTGAGGGTCATGAAAGACGGTTGTAAACGCCCTTCACGCGGCACCCATGATCAGTGCCACCGGCTATTTCCGTCCCTCTTCCCTTGAATAGCAGCGTCTTCCTATGTAGGTGAGGTATATATGTATTCACCCACATGTGCTCGTCGGGGCGAAACTCCTGAACCCTGTCGGACAAGTTGTCGGGGGTGATTAGAGATTAACAAATCACTTGCTTATACTATATACACATAGAAATCAAAATAGCGTGATGCATCAAATGAATAAATCCACAAGGGCCGTGATGAGGGTTCGAACTTATGCCCGGGATGATCCCAGACGCTGCCTTAGTCGACTAGGCCTTAATTCAACCCACTTATTTCCGTGAATGTCCTCTCGTATCCCTTCTGGTCCATTCCATTTGCCCACTACACTGAAGAAATACTTCCTAACATTAATGTGTCTCAAGTGTGTAATCACTTAAGTGTAGTTACAGGATGAGAGCTACGCTCGTGGTGTCCCGTCTTCCCAGTACTCTTTGTCGTATAACGCTTTGAAACTACAGACGGTTTTGGCCTCCAACACCTTCTCACTTAACTCTGTTTGCCAAAGAAAACTAATATTTTTCGGCACCTTTGTTTCCTTAGCTTGGATCTGTGTCCTCTTGTTCGTGAAGTTGCTGGTTTCAGGAATTCCTCTTTGTCAATTTGGTCAATTCCTCTTAGTATTTTGTAAGTGGTGATCACGTCTCCTCTTTTTCTTCTATCTTCTAGTTTTAGCATGTTTAACGCCTCTAGTCTCTCCTCCTAACTCTTGTTTTTCAGTCTCAGAAGCCATTTTGTAGGATGCCTTTGCACCTTTTCCAGTTTCTTGAGATTTGGTCACCATACAACTGCTGCATATTCCAGTTTTGGTCTCACAAAAGTCATGAACAGTTTCTTTAGTATTTCACCATCCATATAATTAGAAGCAAGTGTGAAGTTGGAAAGCGACGCATTACGCTCCTCTCACAATGTTCTTTGTGTGTTCCTCTGGCGACAGCTTACCACCCACAACCTCCCCCCACCCCCCCCTCCAGGTCTTGGTCTTTATTAGTGTTCTGTAATGCCATTCCACATAATTAGTAAGTTGTGTGTTGTCATTTTCTCCGATTCCACATTCCATAACATGGCATTTATCCACATTGAATTTCATTTGCCACTTGTTGCTCCACTTATTTTATCTAGATCAATTTGACGGGCATTACAATCGTCTGTGTCTGCTGTGTTCCCCAGTATCTTAGCATCATCCGCAAACATGTTCATACAATTCTGTATTTTCTCTAGAACATAATTTATGTAGACGAACATTACTGGTGCAAGAACTGAACCCTGTGGTACTCTGCTAGTAACACTCCTCCAGTCAGATACATTGTCTCCTGATTACTGCCCTCATCTGTCTGTCAGAACACTTTTCATCCATGTCAGAAGTCTCCCTGTCACCCCTTCCAGCATGTTCCAGTTTTCAGAACAGCCTCTTCTTTGGGACTATTAAAAGCCTTTTTTAGGTCCAGATAGATACAGTCAAGCCAACCACCTATTTCCTGTAGTATCTCTGTGGTTCTATCATAAAAACTAAGTAGATGTGTTACACAGGATCTTCCTGTTCGAAAACCATACTGTCCGTCCGTTACTATGTCATTACTCTCCAAGTGTTCAACCCATTTGGCTTTAACTATTTTTTCAAGTGTCTTGACTACCACGCTTGTTAATGACATGGGGCTATAATTTAGAGCTTCCTCTCCACTACCATTGTTATAGACTGGTATTATGTCTTTTTCAATTTATCTGTTAAGATTCCTGTGCACAATGACGTCTGGAATGTTGACCAGACCACACACTAAAAGTTGAAGGGACGACGACGTTTCGGTCCGTCCTGGACCATTCTCAAGTCGATTGTCGACTTGAGAATGGTCCAGGACGGACCGAAACGTCGTCGTCCCTTCAACTTTTAGTGTGTGGTCTGGTCAACATACTTCAGCCACGTTATTGTGACTCATCGCCTGCACGTCTGGAATATTAATAGTATTGGAATGCTCAGCTCAGTTGCACATTCTCGCAGCACCCAAGGTGAAACTCCATTAGGTCC